AATTAAGATGGAGCTGATGAGTGTTGAGGTATGAGTCTTGGCCAGACAAGTGTACTTGTTCAGCAGCCTGCTTTTATGGGGCAAGCACCCCCACTCCTCTGTTTTTCCCAAATCTGTGCCTCCTTAATCTACCTCTGTTTCTCCTTTTCCCCACCTTTGGTCTGTCTTCTAGAAAGTACTGTCAAGAAAACTGTATATTTGTTGACGAATGCTCCTATTATTTAATCAAAGATATGTGCAAGTGTATACATGTGAAACTTGTAATCTGTCACTTATTTTTGAACTCCAGAAATTCTTTGTCCGTGTTCTACCACGGTATCCGCTAGCAAGAGCGGCAAGATAGAAGAATTCCTCAAGAAATTCAAGGATTTTGAAGCTGCACAGGCTAGAGAGCCAGCTCCTGAAGGAAAAGATTCTGCTAGCTCTTTAAACACGGGAATCTTTCCTCAACCTGAAAAGCTTTTCTTCCATATACATCAAGATGATGTTCAAGCATCTGAAGTGTTTGACTCATTGTTGCTATTCTTAAATAGAAAAGAGTATCAGAGGAACTTCAAAAACCTCTATGACTTTTCTTATTCCTTTATCACTAACATGTTTTATGGTTACTCAGAGGAAGGAGAACTGGTTAATTATTTGAGATTAGCAAGGGAAGCAGCAAAAAAAGCAAGCATGTTCTGGGCTCTAGCAAGGCTATGTTTTCTCTTAGGTAGATTGAGTGTTAAAAAGCTTAAGTTTTCCCAAGCTCGAGTTTATTTTGAGGAAGCCTTGGGAGCCGTAACTGGAGGATTTAGTGATATGTATCTGATAATTGCTCTTTATACAAACCTAACGGGTATCTATTTGACACAAAAGAACAAAGAAAAGTGTGTTCACATTTTTGACAAGGCTGTGTCCCTCCTTGTGGGAATCCCTAATTACATTGGCAGTGCTGACCTTGAGTCAGATATTCTAAAGCATGCTCTAAAGAGGGCAATATTGAGCCAGAGTGAGCATGCAGAGGCAAGGGTATGCTTTCTATTGGCAAAACACTACACTGAACGCAAACAGTATGATGAGGTGCTGCCCTTCTTGGAAAGATTGCAACTGTTGCTTAATGACTTGAGTTTTCAAAACAGCTTGGCAAACAACTGCTACTTCAAACTAGCAGAGTCCTACAATGAAAAATGCTTACCACACATTGTGTTAAGTTGCATAAGGGTTGCCTCTTCCCAGAATTTAGGTACCTTAATGGATTCCTTGAAAAGAATTGATTTGGTCATCAAAAATGCTCCCAAGCTCTATGGCCTTAGGAAACTCAAGCAGACGCTCCCATCCCAAATTGCACCTTATCTCACAAAAGCACTCTCCTCTTCGTTTACTAATGACCACCAAGGACTACGCAGCTCTATCTACCTTGGCCTAGCAGAACTGCACAGCCACTACAAGCGCTATGGAAAAGCCATCGCTTACATGATGAAAGTGCTGGACTCGGATATTTCTGCTAAGCCAGAGGAAACTGTTAACCATTTGGTTTCACTTGCTTGGCTATACATTCTTCACAGGCAATATGATGTGGCATTAGCCATTTTAAATGCCATTGGAGACTCTTCACAGAGCAATCCTCAGCAACGAGGCATCGTTTATAATATGCTTGCCATTGCTTTAAAAAGAAGAAACAATACCAAAGGAGCTGCCGAGAGCTACTACAAAGCCCTGCGTCTTTCAGAAGAGACCAATAGGACTCATAACCAAGCTATAGCCCTGGCTAATTTGGGGGCCCTCTGCCTGCACGCAGCAGCCAGCAAGCTGGCAGAACACTATTATATCAGGGCAGTGAAGCTGTTCTCCACGCTTCCAGTTATGGACTGTGGCGGAGACTTTATTCAAGTCCTCCTTCAGCTGGGATGTTACTACGTTAGTGGATCTCAGAGAGAAAAAGGAAGATTTTATTATGAGTGGGCATTTTTAGTTGCAATGGAGACAAGTCATCTGGAAAGTAAGTACAATATTGTACATTCAGTTATGTGCCATCTACTGAAGCAATTATGGTTTTTGATATGTTCCGCGATAGAGGATAAATGTATATTTTTTGCTCTAGGGAAAATATCGCTGCTTAATTTGTAAAAAGGATAGAAATTAGTACATTCCATATTACTGTTAATAGTCATCATACTATCACTAGTACAGACAGTACCAGCCACAGTTTAAATGCATGAAGACACAACTGTTCTGAATTTGTGAAATAATGGGAATTAATTATTTTAAAACTCTTAACTATGAATCTCTGTCTTAAAAAATTGTATTTCAAATCTGTTTTCCTAGGTCAACTTCAAGCTATTAAGCTGCTCTGTCAATTCTACAGTACAGTTATTCCTAATGAGGCTCAGTGTGTCATCTACAATGAATATCAACTATCTCTAGCAAGAAAGATGTCCAACAAAGTTTTGGAGGGACAAATTTTGGAAACCATTAGTCAGCTCTATCTGTCTCTAGGAACAGAAAGGTGAGACATACTCAATGACTTTGCTTTTATTTTGATCAAAACATGTCATGCTACAGGGCTTCAATTTTTGCAACGGCTGAATATAACTCAAATTTTCACACTCTGCCAGTACACCCTATTAATACTAATACCAAGTTTTTTGATTTAAGTAACTGTCTCTCGAGAGACAAGATATTCAAGAAACATTAGCACTGCTTCATGAGCCAATTTTTTTTAAATGCATATAGATATGCATACATTATGCAACTTGAAGTCTTGATGACTTTTTATGAGAGCAGCTATTATGTGAAAATTTTTCTATCAGAAAATGAATGAAATATTCTACTAGATCTGATATCAAATTCTCCGATTGCTTCATTTTGAGGCTTTTTGGTCAGAATGTGTGGAAAAACCTGTATGTAAAATGGTGCAGTGTCAGTCTCTGACAATTTCTATCCTGCTCTTTTCAGAGTGCCGATTTTTTGCTCCTGTTTAAGGAAAAGACTGCACAAATCAATTTATACTAATTAAACAGGTGCTGGGTAAACTGAAGCTTTCCTGAACATTTTTTTTAAAGACTACTTTCTATTTTTTTGTCTACTTCGACTTTTTCATTATATCTTAATTTAGGGAGTCATTTTGGATTAAGATATTCTCAAATATGCCTCAAGAAAGAAACAAAAAGATTAGCCTCAATTTGAGAGAGCATAGGGCTTTAAGTGGAAAGCTCATGTGTCTGCCTTTTCATCTGTCATTTAACTTCCTCTGCTTTTTTAGCTTCTATTTAATGATACAGTAATTGAAAATTCTTTGGATGGGCTACGATTTCTGGTTTGAAATCTGAAGAAGGATTTAACTAGCTAGATAATCTGATTCTGAGTATGCCTGAATTTACCAAATAAAGTTGGCTATGTAGCCAACTGCTGTGGAGCAGTGGCCCTATATAAAAAACTAATATCACAACATTCTGAGTTAACACCCCTCAGTAACAAGAGTACCGGCATAACTATGTAGAAATGAAAACCATTTCATGCTCTGTGTCACTGCATTCCCTCTTCTGGAAATTACCACCTCATTGTAAATGATCTGCTCCCCACTAGCAAGCCTGGGGCTGTGCCTGGGGTCCCAGCCTGACCTGTCTCAGCTAATAGGCTGGGTTATGGGTTGGTGGATACATTTGTCTCTGCCATAAAAGCAAAACTTCTGAAGGAGAATGGAAGAGGTATTTATTCAACTGAACTCAGTTGGACTATTTTAACTACATGCTTTGTTTTATCCTCATATTTCTCAGAGTAGTTTGCTGTTAAAGGCAGCTGAAAGTGGATCTTTACTTACTATTATGAAAATGAGTGACAGGTCTTTCCAGTTTCTGTAAGAATAAGAAAGTGGTAAAATCATTTTTTCCACTCTAGTGAGATTTTGCTGAGATGGAACAGAAATCCTGATAGTATGAAATACCAAGGAACATATTACTTTGATTTGTTCAGCATCTTTGGAGGTCAGAATAGGTTGGTCTAAAGGTACACTGCTTAAGGACTCACTGGAAATGTGCAGTTTGTGTGAGGGGACTCTGCAACATGACAGCTTGAGAAGGAATTAATAAAATGTCTGGGGCTTCTATGTCTGGTATAAAGCACATAAGCTTAATCAGATAGGGCTTTCTGTTGAAAAGTATGGACATTCCCAAGATTTTATGGAAATGTTGACTAGCCAAGTCAGGTGCTTTTTAGAAATTATTTGTTTACAAATACGATTCCTTTCTATGAAACATGTAGGAAAGTGTCATAAATGATAAAAACTAAAGAAACATATTTCTATCTGTCCCTAGTCTAAGGTGGTGGAAAGACGCATCTAAAACTGTTCTGAAATATAACATATCATGATAATCTAACAGAAAGTGTATATTGAGCAAAAAACAGAGTGGGAGAAAAGAGAGTTGTTAGCTTCTAATGGAATATATCTGAGAAGTTATAATCACTCAAGGAATAGAATAAACAGATTGTCTTTTATATTGTCTTACATATGAAGCCTTTCTCTCATTATGAAAAAACATTCCCAATTCTGAAAAGTGACTTTGATTAGCAGTTTTTCCCTGTTTCAGGGCTTACAGGTCAGCTCTGGAATATACCAAAAGAAGTCTTGGAATATTTATAGATCTTCAGAAAAAAGAGAAAGAGGCATATGCTTGGCTGCGGGCAGGAAAAATCTATTACATTCTTAGACAGAATGAGCTTGTGGATCTTTATATTCAGGTATGTTTTGCACACTTAAGGTCATGGTGCAGGTGGCACAGTAAAAGAGTAAGTAATGTAATGATCCCAGAAATTTTGCTATTTCATGTCCTGAACATACAGTAATGTCATTTACTCAATGACTAATACCTGGAAGTCTAAGCACTTTCCTGTTGTCTCCATTTTTATTGATGCTATTTGACTGTGAAGGGATAACCCAGGGGATTGACCTGCTTTAGTACCTACTCTGTTGTCAATTCCAGGCATTCTGTTCTTTCATCTTATCCCATCATTATCAACTTGACAGCACAGCATCGTATCAAGTATGTGTGTTACATGTGCACATCTTGGCATCAACTTAGGATGCCGCCCTGTAGGCCAGATCCTTAGGAAAACAGCAAATGAGTTTTGTTTTTTAGGAAATCTTTCTCAAGAATGTAAAGTTTTTGTTCTGTGGCTGGGTACAACAGGGCCTGGGCCTTCTTGGGAGCTGCTGCCACCTTTGCAGCCGTGAGACTGAGAATTGGATCTACCCTTGTGACTACTGACACTGGATTAAATTGAGTCTTCCCTAGAGCTGAACTATAACCTGATCTGACTCTCTCAATAGTCTAAATGGTTTCTTGTCAGTTACTTAGGTATTCAGGAATTGTAAAAGGTTTAAGAATATTCTTCTCCTGTGGTAATGTGTCTGGGAAAAATTAAGTCTCGTGTTACAGAATGTATACTGAACAAGACATAATAAGATCTGAGACCTGCTGTATGAGTAGTAGCAAAATATTATTTTAAAATAAAATTATCCAGCTTCTAGTGTTACTATATTCAAAAAAAACCCCACTTGTACAAAGAAGCAAAAAAATATAGGGAATGGGTTCATATTTAAAATGTGTTGACATCTGTTGTGGGTCTACTTTAATGAATATTTCATGTATTAATTGAATACATGCCAGGAACACTGACCAAACGCGTTTATGGGAAGGGAGTCGATCATAGATGGTTATTTCCTCTTCTGCTAAAAGACTCTAGCTGATAGCTGAGGCAGTCATCCAAATGGTGTTGCACAAGCCAAATCAGCCTGCGGCCTGATTTTCTATCTGTTGTTTTCAACATGAGAAACAGGTCAGGGACATGTGTGTTCCACACTGTGTATATAGATGTTGGTATTTAGTGTCAGTGCCTCTCCATGAGGAAAGTCTTAAAATAGAAATCTGTCCCCTAAAAGGCTGGCCACTCTGCCAGTAATTTGTGCAAGTCATCACATCTCCACTTGTATTTAAAGCACAGTTTCTTAAAATGTGATGGAGCAGAGTCCTTAGGTTTCTTAAGTCTGAGAAGGATCAAAGCCTTTGAGCCAAAGAAGAAAGTTGAACTTGGTGGACTTATATGTAGTTTGAAAAGTGGAGATTACAAAACCAAAGTAGGCTAAGTAATAAGCTAAGGCTAAGTAGTACATTTAACAAACTTACTGAGTTTAGCATCCTGAGACAGCAGG